GGCAAAATGGGAAGAACTATACGAGATGCTGGAAATCGAAAGCATTTCCCTCTTTGCAGTTGCAGAAACGCATCTACGTGGTTTAGAGGAGCCTCCGATTCACCCTAGATGGTGCTGGGCGGGTTGTAACCGGGACGGAGGAGGACGAAAAGGTGGGGGCGTTGGTTTTCTGTGGCATGTTGACTCCGCATGGCATACAAGGCAAGATATTACGTGCACAGATCATGTCTGGATAACCGGGGAGATTCTGCGCATACCAGTGAACGTATGCGTGGTATACATGGCTGTGGGAGGAACCAGACATGAGGAAAACTCGCAGCTAGTCGCATGCATTCAGGAAGATGCCAGGCGCATGGCTCAGGAAGCCGAAGTACTTATTATGGGAGACTTCAACGGACATTTGGAGGAATTGGACGGAAAAGAAGATGGTAATGGAAAGCTATTACGTGGACTGGCGGATAACTTAAACCTTGAAATAATCAATCTCCGTGAGACTTGTGTAGGACAGTTCACATGGTGCGCAAGGAACAGCAAAACGTGTATTGACTACGTGCTAACTTCCAGTGCACTTGGACGTAAACTACAGAGCATGCAGATAGACGAAGATGGAACATTCAGTTTAGGCAGTGATCATAACCGTCTGAGGGTAGACTTTTCGTCTTCAACATGGAAGCGGCCACAAAAGGAACAGTACAAGACTGTCGAACTTGTGTTACCTGTGAGCGCCATAGAAATCGTGGCGAAGGAGTTCGAAGCCAGCACAAGACGGGCTTCAGCGACGAACTATGAGGAGTTTATCAGGGAACTCAAACATCTAATTAAAGTACACTCCATCCGGAGACGGTCACGAGGCGGAGTTCGGCGCAATAGCTGGTAGGATGCGGAGGTGAAAGCAGCGCGAGATGCGAGAAGGCAAGCCAACCAGGCTCATCGACGCGCTGTCAAGGGAGGAAACTGCGTAGAAGTGGAGCTGGCTTGGAACGAGTTCCTTACTTTAAAACACAAGCTGCAAGTTTTAATACAATGCAAGATGACAGAGGCAGACCAGCGAAAAATAAAAGAACTTAGAGATAGCGGTAAAGCAGCAGCCGAAACATTCTGGCGATACGTGAGGTCAATGGACAGTAGGGACCCTGTACCGACCGTCTTGGTGGACGACACAAGGAAAGATGTAGTGAATTTAGCGGAATACTTATCGGATTATCTGACATCGATGTTCGAGTCAAGAGACCCAGTGGCAACATCGAGAAAACCAAGTGACCTGACCGAATCACAACCGCCAGGATCAAAAGAGCGGTTGGTTGAGCCGAAATGGGAAGTAACAACAATGGCACTTGACAGAGCAATCGCCCATATCAAAACTAACACAGCACGTGGAAAGGATGGAATACCTGTGGCTATTCTTAAATGCATGGGCGACCAGAGTAGAAGACAACTGACATGCATCTTCACGAATATAATTTCGGGCAGCTCCATTCCCGACCATTGGGTGAATAGTCGAATCGTACTGCTGCCGAAACGAGGAGGAAACAAGCGACGACTGCAGGACTACCGCTTTCTGACCGTGACAAGCGTCATCTACAGAGTGTTCGCGCACGTGATAAAAGAATGGATGTGTGCCTGGGCAGAGGGGAATGGAAAGCTGACTGAACTTCAGAACGGCTTCCGAAAAGACCGCCGACTGGAGGATAACCTCTTTGTATTAACACAGATCATAGAGATAGCCAGAAAAGAAAACAGGGATTTCATATGCTGCTTCCTGGATGTCGCTAAGGCATATAACAGCCTGCCCCATGGGTCCCTGTTCCACTGCCTCAAAAGACTAGACATGCCCGACCAGTGGACGGAATTGATACAGCGACTATACGACGGAGGTACTGTTACAGCCGCGTTTGGAGGTGTACATTCAACGCGTGTCAATGTAAAGAGGGGACTGAAGCAGGGATGCCCTCTTTCACCTCTACTGTACATGTTGTACACGGCAGAGATGGAGCGCAAATTAATAACATCCGGTTTAGGGTTTTCACTCCGCCGCATAGAAGATGGATGCGTGACACACTGGACATTACCGGGTCTTGCATACGTGGATGATCTCGTCCTCATGGCTGAAGACATGAACACGTTGCAGAGGCTAGCAGATATTTGCGTGGAAACATCGTCCGTGTTGGGTCTGAAGTTTAATGTTCAGAAATCAGCAGTGGTGCAGTTCTCTGGGAACGACATTGTAAATAATAAGTTACAGCTGCAAAAGGAAGACGTTACGATGACTGGGAAGTATAGGTACCTGGGAGTCACACTAACGAATGGGCCCGACTACTGCGACGAATACCAAATACACCTTAGACAGGCATCCCAGAGAGGGTAAAATATCTTACGCCGGCGCATTATGTGGAGCTGTAACAGATATTTGATGATCAAGGAATTGTGGAAAGCTGTTCATGTCCCTGGGCTCACGTTTGCCAATGAGATCGTCTGTGCCTCGGCTGACACACGAGCCTGGATAGAACGCAGGCAGAGAGATGTCGGTCGCCAAGCACTCAGCTGCCACGGCAACGTGGCGATTGAGGCCATACAAGGAGACATCGGGTGGTCGACGTTTGAGGCACGAGAGGCATCAAGCAAGCTAACCTACCGAGGACGACTCCTACGTATGAACAGGCATCGGTGGGCAAGGCGAGTGTTCGACTACATCAGTGTCAACTGCGTGCAGACGCAGTGGACGAAGCGGGTCAACCAGCTCCGCAAGAAATATCGATTCTTCACACAGCCAGTCATGGAGGCGACTGCGAGTAAGTGGGCAAGTGAGGTGAGGCGACGGGTCAAAAAGGCAGAGACGACCCACTGGGTTAAGGAGGCAAACAAGAAATCCTCACTCCAAATCTATACTGCTCACAAGGACACAATTGGACCGGAGGCCTACTATATGATAACAGTCTAGGCAGCCGTCTCCTGTTTGAGGCCCGAGCAGGAGCGCTGCGCACAAGACTATATCGGCAGCGGTTCGATCCAGCAATAGAATCAGTGCAGTGCGGAGCCTGCGGTCAGGAAGAAGAAACCATCACGCACCTAGTTCTGCACTGCACCGGCCTGACTACAGAGTGGGATGAAGCGTGGCGCGTGCACAACCAGGGGCATAGCCAAAACAACACAAGCTGGTCCAGACAGACTGCGGCAGTCGCTCATTGCTACCATTGCTACCACAGGCACTGGGCTTTCATCCATGGACAGATAGATGGACTGTCGACGTCACCAAACGACGATTAGAAAATTGGTGGATAAGTAGAGAAAAGAGGGGAAAGTGAAAGCCACCTATGGCTGGGACACGACATATGTGACCACCCGTTTCAAAGGGGATAGCCACAAGCATCATCATCATCATCAAACCGAGGGGGACGCAATGCGGTCGCTCATTTGGCTCTCGTTTCCCCACCTGTCTATTAGCGAGTTCGTTTCACACGCACTGGCACCGTTCGAGTTCTCTCCCAGAATGCATCGCACTCTCAGAGTGTTGCACGGAAAACTGGACTCAAACGAACTCGCCAAATGCACCGAGTGCAGAAGACTGATGCTGCCGCCATCTATGTTGTAGAAGAGGTACCGACTTTAAACCGAAACTAGCGCCTTTCTGATCGGAGTGATGCGTGGGAATGCGAGAGTGCAGTCGCTACCAACGTTTATCTACAAACGTTGGTCGCTGCAACCTGTAGTTTATAGTTGCGATGACTTCAAGCAGCTCGGCTGCCGTAGAGATAGTTACAGACGGCGTAAATTTCCGCAACCAGCTGTCTACAAAGCAGCTGGTTCCGATCTTTCAATTCTTATAACCGTTTACACTGAAGAAAACTGATGATGCTGTCCGAGCACAAGCATGATCCGTTTGAGCATGGTATTATGCGTGAACCACTGAAAGGGTGCTGCTTAAAACTAGCCTGTTGGAATATCCAGCAAAACTGGGACTTTCGATTTGGATCGTCATTATAGGTGGATCAGATGATCCACCTATAATGCCTCGGTGAGGGCGTCGAGAACGAGAGCATTCTCGAACAGAATACGACGGGGCAAGTTAGCTGACGTAGGTAAATGTTAAACATGATGATGTTGCCCAATCCTCGGGTAAAGTTACCATCTTTAGCTTTCTCTGATGCTTGTTGGGCGGTCAGAGGTTTCTGCTGAGAGAGTTTTGTCGACAAATGTTAAATTTTTCACCCGCACACGGATGGTGATAGATATCTCGGGGGCCGCTTTTACGTTTGTTCTGAGCATTCCTTTACACATTGGTATATTTCAGCGTCTGTGCGGCAACAGAGCGATTTAAAACCTGCAAATAAATCAAGGGTTGTCAATTGCTTCCTTCGGAAAATAGCAGACGCTCACAATTCAAGCTCGCGTTTGATTTCATGGCCCGCGGGACGCGATATCTATGAGAAAATCTACTTTTTTTCCCGTTCGGTTCCGCGACATATCGTAGCAGACGAACCCTCGTCGTCTGCTCCCGCTCCTCGCCGGCTCGACCGCAGCGAGGCATGACGGGATTGCATTTTGGCGCACTCCCGATTTTCTCGGTGCAGCGAGTGCATGCACGCGTGGGGTGTCAGCGATGAAACGAATTCGGAGAGTGCAACCACTCGTGGAGTGCCGGCCGAAACGAACCCGTTCCACGCTGCGAGTGGGCACGCGTGGGCACGAGTGCCGTGAAACGAACTCGCTATATCTTACACCCTGGTAACGTTGCTTTCAGCTGAGAAATCGAAACCGAAACTAATTTTGAGAGTCTCGTAGCTTAGTTCCTCGGGACCTATCAAGTTGAATAAACGTGTCATGGGAGTTACTCTCACTTTTAACACTGCCTACTGTTTTGCCAACCTCTGCATACTTCTGCTGAGACATTGTAATTTCTAAACTATTATTTTTAAGGATTTGTTTTGAGATGTTAGCTAATCTGTTTACAATCCAGTCGAAGTCACTACTGATACGTTTCCAATCCAAGTTGTCCAAGTGGTTATTGTCATCTCTGTTCTCTGTGTTCTCGAGCGTTAGTTTAATCTGCGTAGAAGTCAGGTTGGGGAGTTTTCAGTGCTTGACCTGCAGCCAACAGTTACGCTCTGAGCCGAAAAGACTACAGGAAACCTTCGAGACCTTATTCAGGTGAGTGAACTTCACGAAGGTAAGTGTTTGCTGTTCCTCTCGCTGGTTCTAGTCGCGCTTTCTTGAAGGGTGTTGATGTCGCTGGCCTGTAATAAGGCGGAGCCTCCTGAGGGGGCGGTTCACCGAATGATACTTTAGCGAATAGTTGGGCGCCGCGAAGCGGCGTTTACGTGTGGGCCAATACACACACACATGTGGGTTCACATTTTTTGTAATGAGCCGCCTCAGACTGTCGCCGCAAAGCGGCGTAAAGCGCAGCGCGGCGGATGGGTTAACGCGCGCCCCCGTTGTTGCCCCGGAGGCTCCGCCTTATTACAGGCCAGCGACATCAATACCTTCTTGAAGTTACCTGTGTTTCAGAAAATGTCTTCGGAATGAATGCTCCGTCGTTGAACAACGATGCTGTTACTGATTGACCAAATGCTGAGTACTCTAGATGCACGTCGTAATATTACGCGTGCAGTCTCCCCCGAATTAATAGCATCTGAGCGTAATGCCGATTGGCAGCGGATCCCAGAAGGGACGCGGCCTCATATAAAGTTTCTACCGCAAAACACGCATTTTCTTTTCTTCAGATGGAGCGAAGCCGGTAACCTCACTGACTCTAAAGTCACTCGTAGGACTAAAACGGCAGAGCGTCTGTTTCGAATGCTCGAACTTTTGACTGCGCGCGCACGGCCGAGCCTCACGAGTCGCCGAAGTGTTGCCAAAATCTTACGAAGATCGGGACAGCAGAACGGCCTTTCTGCCGTCCTCGTCCCCGTTCCCTCGGTGACTGGAGTACCGTTCATTTATGCATCGTCTCACGAGTAGCGTGCACCGCACTGTGGCCGTCCAAGACGCGGGTCTTGTCTGCACGAGAGTTCTCGCCGAGAAATCGGTCACGTAAAGCCCAGGGCCGGGCAAACATAACCAAAATGTGTCTAGAAATACAAGTACTGCAATACGTGGCAGTTACGGCTAGAGTACTCACGCTAGAGTGTAAAGCCTGTCCCCCCCAAAAATGTGTGCACCAAAATCGCTTGTAATATTTCAATTCTCTACTCCCAGTCGAACTGAATGATAAATCAAAAAGTAGATTTTTTCAGCTGTTTAAATGCTGGCAAGCGCAGGTGAGCGCAGGCATTGGGGCCGCTTGTTGTCTCCAATGCCAGCTAAAGGACGCCTCTCGTTCTCTCGACACAAACCAAACTGTGAAAGCAGATCCAGAAAGCAAGAAACAATTTTTAATTAGGTAAGTGGTTTGTAAAGCATCATTTAGCATCTTTATATATTACTATCTCTTCCGTGACACTCGCCGTGCTGAGAATGCGACCGAGAATCAAATCATCAGGTTGCATTTTCACGGATATCAGAAACACGAACTGAAACACACGCTTGAAGGAGAGTTGTGCGAGAAGTCTGTCACACTGCTCGGCATGCCGGCATTGGTTGCGCCCTTTCTTAGTAAGCTGGGGAAGCATGGCCGTCGTTCGATCTCCTTTCAACAGCTGCTGCTCCACCATTGGTAAGTTCCATTTTCAAATTAGGGATCGTTTTAGTTCTATAGACCAACTCATGTTTGCGAACAAACTGGAGCGCTCCTAGCAGATGCCACCGGCGCCACGCATGCGCGATGGAGTGTGGGCAAGAAGCTCGCCTTCTCCCATAAACAAACCATTGAAATCCAATGTTGTCGGCGTCGTTGTGACACCCCATGCTCTTTTTTGTGTTGGAATTGTTGACCCTACGTCTTCCTGGCAATGTCTGACGACTTGAGCAGGCTCAGTGAAATTACCGAGGCTCGTTATATCGCAAAACTTGACGTGAATATTGTGACATGGGGCGATTCATTCCGCCTGGACGCCGCAGAATGGACGCAGATGATGAGGTTCCACTTGCAATTTTCAGTCGCGACGTCGTTCGGTCTGCAAAAGTGTGAACCGTAGCTGAGATGGTCGACGAAAATACTGAAAATCGCTGGCAGAATTGGACCAAGTGAATCGGACATAACGTGTCAGTGATGGCCACCGGTATTAATGATGAACATCTCCTTGTATTTACTCTTTACACTGAGCCTTCTTACCCCAACCAACCTTCAAACTTAAGTCTTTTGAGGCCTGCACTTACTTCTCATCGCAATTACCGGGCCAACGTTTGGTCTACGGGCCAGTGTTGTCTGGAAGTGCAGGTGACAAGCAAAAACGTTTGAAAGAGCAGATGACAGTTCTAACGATCAGGCGACCATTTGAACTTGAAGACGCACCGAACATAGTCCGCAGGTGGTACATACAACTTGACGGTTTTCCCGCGTTCATGTTGGAACAAAACAAATAAATCTGATGACCACAAATATCCCTAACTTCAACCCCGATTGTTTCCCGCCCAAGCAATCGTTGTCCGACGGCGTCTGGTTTTCCCTTTTCACTACACATATTCACATTCTCAGACAAACCGAGCACATGAAAACTTACCCTCAAACCTTTCTCGGCTCTTTTGGTACAGCCCCAGTCGTGGCGTTTTGACGAGAAGGCAGGTTTCTTTCTGGTTTCTTTCAAGGCAACGCAGGAATGCACGTCTCGCATGGGGACTTTCGCCCACAGCTCCAGACCGGATGTGTGCTCGACGCACCACCATTGCGCAGTGACGTAACAGAGTTGAGTTTGTGTATTGGGTGTAGAGAATTCAAATTTTAGTATGTTAATTGAACCAGTAAAAGACGTCTTCTTGAAAAGATGCAGCTTGATACGTCTAGTCTTTGACTTTTATGGACCATTTTGGTATGCAAATATTCTTTTGGGACACTCTGTAGTACCGTTCATTTATGCATTGTCTCACGAGCAGCGTACACCGCGTCGCGTATATCAGAGATGCGGGTTTTGTCTGCATGAGAGTTCTCACCAACAAATCGGTGATACAAAGTCCAGTGTCACAAAGAACTGCCCAAAATGTGTTTAGAAATACAAACACTGGAGTGCTTGGCAGTTACAGCTAGAGTACTAACACATGAGTATACTTGTAAAGGCCCTGTCACATTGAGGAAACACGGCGACGACAACAGCACAACATGTTCATCAACAGTTTGTCAACTTTGTTCTCGGTCACCCTGTTGCCCGACAGACCTGTCCCATCGTGGGAACATCAGCACAACACAGGCCACAGCAACAATGTTGCCTCTGTTGTGACAGCTTTTGGCAACAAGAACTGCAGCAACGTTTGTTGAACAACGCGCATTGCCCAGATCGGTGGATGAGCGAATTTCCTGCCGTCAACATGACAACACAGATAGTTTCGATGGCAGAGTTTCCTATCAACAGGGATAAGCAGTATTTCAAATACAAGTATTTGAAATACGTATTTCAAATACTTTGTGTGTTTTGCATTTGTATTTAATTACAAATTCGGTAATGTATTTGATGCGTGTATTCAAATACTAAGACGTGGGTATTTCAAATACAATTGTAATTAAATACAATTTTGTGGGCGAAAATACATCCCTCAAATTTATTGTCACTGCCCAGAGCAGGAAAACAACTATGTTCTGCGCTGAATGCAGTGTCTCTCAATCAAGCACAAGCGTTTCGTGACTTTGTGATTACGGTGCTAGTCCAGGGCAAGAATTGTGACGAAATCGACGTTCACAGGAAGACTGGCTAAATAAGTGCCTGTGACAACTTGTGATGCTTTCCAGCCTGATTTCCATCCATATTTTTGCCTGGAACATTCTAAATGCACGGGTCGTCCAGATTTTCGTAACTGGTGCGAGTTGCAACAATAAAAAATTCTCTAGCTAGTGCTGCGCATCTTGATCGTCTCGGTTCTTTGTTGGTCTATATCAAAATGTAATCGACAAAAAAAGCGGCTTGAAGCTCTGTACGTTTTTCACCTATTATGTCCAAGCTGATTACATTTTTTGTGATTATATTTCTATTACGTTACTAGAGCCTCGCACACTAACTCCCGAGTGTGCAATGCAAAATTAAGATGAGATACCCAGAAACCCGTTGCAGGTGCACTAAAATCGCTGACGCAAATTTCGAGGAATGTATTTGGAAAAGTATTTGGAGGAGACCAAATACATTTGGTTTTATTTGTATCTTGTATTTAAATGCTTTTTTGGAAATGTAATTAGATTTGCAATTTAATACATTTTTGACGAAGTATTTTGTATTTGTATTCCGATACATATTTTCATGTATTTTGCCCATCCCTGCCTATCAATAACATTTTTTTTTTTTTAAGAGCTTACTCGAATAATGGCCTGGAAAACACTTTTTAACAATAATTAGGGCTGGCGTGAAGCTGAGATAATTTGATGAATGTTTTTACTGCGTAATTATGGAAACCGATTGTCGAAATCATAACAGCTGCGGTCGTGAACATTCAGACGGTTATGGAAATTACAACTGCCGAGAGACCAGCTCACATTACTGCTAGTGAAAAAAAATGACATGCCTACTCGCCCGTCAATAAAATTTTAACAAAAATAATTCACGGAAGCGAGCGATTCAGAAATGAAAGCATGAAAACGACCACTCTTATTATGATTGTTGATGCTTGGAACTCAAGAACAGCCGCTGCCAAACACAATTGTTTAAAATATCCCCAGGACATTTTGGGGAAGGAAGTGATCACATTGCAGGCGGTAAAGGCAAATAGACAGCGTAGAAAAATATTTGTTCCACCAATCGTTATGAAGGCCGACCGTGTCGGTGTCACAGTCTTTAAGCACTGTCAGCTCAACTAAACACTATTCTACATAATACAATTTTGGGTGCTGCCAATGCTAACTCAATTTTACACTGGAAAGAGGAATTGCATGAAAGACAAACTCTTCATGCAGTTGCGTAAATTGCTAACATACCAGCGATCTTGTCTCCGTCGGTTAGGGATTGCTGCTTCGTCACCGAATGAAGGACGTTTTTATAAAATAAATAGTGGAAAATACTTTTCCTGTCGAGTTTTCTGTTCACAGTCACTGGATGTCGTTCTGTGGTAATTTCCAACTCTTTGAATTAACT